CTATGCAGGGGGTCGGACTCGATGATCTATTGAGGTCCCTTCTGACCCTAACATCTATGAATCAGGAAAGTCCTAACCCAGGGGTCTGCAACGTTTTTGGGCAGAGTGCCAAAAATACCCACAACCTCAACTTGCAATATGTTAGCATGCCAGGGGCACATGGTGGGGGAGGCACAAGGGGCCTGATCCTTGTTGTGGCAGCACAGCCCCAGCCCTTTCCCCAAGGCACATGGGCCAAGCAAAATGTCTTTGCATGCCACACTCTAGCATGTGTACCAGAGGATGCCTACCCCTGTCCTAACCTTTTGCTAAAGCCAGTTTAGGAAAGAGACTAACTTGGCTGCACCCCACCACCCAGGCCCCCCAGGTACCTGCTAGATGACTGCTGGTGGCTGGCGACTCCAGAGTCTGCAGGAAGTTCTCCAGTGGAACGTGAGTCAGATGCTCCCCTGAGGAGTCCCTGACCCTGCTGTGTGGTCCTGAGATGATGGTGGCTGTGGCAGCAGGTGGGGCAGCATTGTGGAGGGGAGGCATGGTACATCTGTCTGGAGGCCTGTGCATGTCTGAAAAGGATTCAGATGTTAATGGCTGAATTAACATGTTGAGGCTCCTTCTGCAAATCAATGCAGGACCAGTGCTAACAGTTCTAGGGGGTATGTTGTCTGCATCCTCTAAGCAGAGAAAACCAGCTGATGCCCTGACATTTTTCAGATTAGTTAGTGCCCAACCAATGTCTGTAGGGGACAGGCATATCAAAAGCAGAGGCACTTCAAGCCCACTCCACCTCGCCATCAGCAAGCTCTTACCCAGGCCTGAAAGGGCCCCTTATAGATGGTAAAGATGATACCGTTCAGCGGATGGCTGCTCTGCTGGGACTAGCAACAGTGATGCTCACTAGGAAGTGGGCTAAGATTCAAACTCATGTCCTACACCACAGGTAGCAGAGGACAACAATTGAAATGGGCCAGATTTGACCGAGTAACCTAGAAGTGTTCCATGCGCTAGCCTCACTCCTCCTGGGAGCCATCCTTTTCTGTAGGAATAGGCAGGAGAGGAAAGCTGCTAAAGCCAAGCTAGGGCCAGCTACAGGCCACATGAGAACTAACCACCTTCTCTCCATTTTAGTAGACTGTGAAATGATTAGTTATCTAGTTTGTAATGTCCGAGAGGCTGCATGGAAAAGGACAGGCCACAAAGCACAAAGCTCCCCCCACCTTTTATGAAGCTTCCTTTGTCATTGGTAATATTCACACTTCAGAAGCCAGCCTGACAACCACAGACACCCAGCATCTGAAACTGAGACATCTGGCGGTTTTCTCTAGCCATCCTTACCATCAGACAGAAATTCACAGCTGCAGGAGGACATCCTGCCTGGCAGACAGGCTCCCTGGGCACAGGAGGCAAGTTCAATATCATCTCCGCTGTCCCTACAAGGAAAAAGCAAAGCAGATGGTCCCTCATGGGGTGTCACTCTGCAGACGCATGCCTTGCCTTGAGGAGGAATTTCCATTTGCAGGCAGAAATGGGGACTCATTTAGTTAATCCAACAATTCTGGTTAAACCTTAGTTCCACATGCGCAGTTGGATGCTCCTAAGAAGGCCAGCACATGACATTTGCAATGCTTATCATTTGCTCCTGAAGCCAAATTCACATAGGGGAGGTACCTGCAGCATCAAAAGGCACAGCAGAGAAGCAGAGGACAAGGCTGTGACTACATATCAGATACTGAAGCTCCATGCAGACGTGCAGGCCTACCCTGTCAATTCACACTGGCATTTGAACTTTAGTAGGGCTGTTCAAGCAACAGAAAAAAATAGGATAGAGTTAGGGCTGGCTGAAAATTTTCCATCAAAAACAGCTCATTGAGGGGAAAAATGCAGCAAAACAACTTCAGGGGAAAACCCAGGCTTCTAGTGGAAAATTTTGCAAAATATTTTGATCTAGATCTTTTTGGGGTTTGGCCAAAAGCTTCTGCTTCAGGTATCAGGTAAAACTTGCATCAAAAATAAAAGTGATTTTGTTTTCATCCAGTGTTTCCACAGGATGAGGAATTCTGGACCAACTCCAGAGAGAGTGCCAGAGGGACAAGGTAGGTTCAAGCAGAGGGGAGGCCCTGCAGGCAGATCCTGAGGATCAGAGGCTATTGGTTATGCTCTGTTGTTCTTAAGAGACTCCCAGAAAGGCTGGGTGTGTGCAGACTCAATGGAGAGCAGGGTAGTGGCTAAACCTATTTGCAGTTACATACGGTGTTATGAAGAGCAGGGTGCTGAGCTGCTCACAGGGGTTGTGTTGAAATTGGCCTCTTTATCAGGCTTCCCTGCCAGATGAACACTGGTAGCATGTTCTCAGCATGGAGGCAGCACTGCTCTCAGAACTGCACTTTGCTCTGCTAATGTCAAGCCACCTTCTGTGCAGGATGCCAGAGTTTGGCCAGTACAACTGCGTCTGCACTAGGGGCTCTGCCAGCACAACTAGGCCTGTGGGATCACACCTCTTTACGCCCCTGATGAATGGAGCTACAGTAGCAGCTCTTGGAAGCAGTCGCTTTCATTGCTTTGGCTCATGTTCCCATGTCGCCCATTGTCTGTCCTCTCCTAGCTCCACTCTGGCATGCACCTTCCTCGCCACCACTCTGACACGCCTCGCCTGCCCGTTCCCCTGCGCCTCCACTAGTGGCCTTTGATTTCCTATGCAAGCCCAGGCTTCCCTCTTTACTTCCAGCCATGAGGCAGCTCATAGCTACCATTCCTCTCCCAAGAAAGCCCCTCTACCTCCTTGTGAAAGCAGCACAGCAATTTTAACCTATTCTGTGACTCATCTCCCCCTGCCATTAGGAGCGCGGGTTTATGTGACTTGCCTGAGAGACAAAGTCTAGTTCCAGAAACCCTGAACCTCCATGTCCTGCACAGACCTCAGCTGAGCATGGACCTTCCCATCACAAGGCAGCCTCCAAGACCCACGAGCAAATACTGAAGGGCCATCCTGTCATCAGCAGGGATCCTGGTTTTCTGTTTAAAAATCCCAAATTCTCCAATAAAAAAAAATACCAAATTCTCCAATTAAACCCCCCCAAATCTACATTTTTCTGTGATTAAAATGAAACCACTATATCCACGGGGATCAGTTGAACACAATGTTCGTAGATTCATAGGTGTTTGGGACGGAAGGAACCTTAGCAGATCATTAAGTCCGACCCTCTGTCCTGGGCAGGAAAGAGCACTGGGGTCAGATGACCCCAGCCAGGTGCATGTCTAGCCTCCTCTTAAAGATCCCAAAGGTAGGGGAGAGCACCACCTCCCTTGGAAGCCCAGTCCAGATTCTGGCAACTCTTACTATGAAGAAGTTCTTCCTGATGTCTAACCTAAATCTGCTCTCCGTCAGTTTGTGGCAATTGTTCCTAGCTACTCCAAGGAGTGCCCTGGTGAACAGAGCATCTTCAATTCCTTGCTGTCCCCCTTGATGAATTTGTAGGCGGCCACAAGATCACCTCTCAGCCTTCTCTTGCAGAGGCTGAAGAGATCCAGGGACCTCAGTCTCTCCTCCTAGGGTTTTGCCTGCCTCACATATGAGTGGCCTTCCTCTGAACCCTCTCGAGGTTGTTCAACTCATTGTATTCATATAATTACAATTTTAAAGCAATTTGAAAGCCTACCAGTGCCTCAATCATTATAATAAAGTGATTTATTTGATTTTGTTTTTTATGCCTCACTTTGGCAGCCATGGCAGCATGGTGCTCTGTCCCGTGCCAGATGCTGCCCACCGGGCCAAGGAGGTGGCTCCTGCCAGGAGCTGGTCTGGCCTCGCTACAGCCCCACATCCCACTGTGGGCACAAAAATCTGGGGGGGGCATGTGCCCCCCCCCAGCCTCACTGACAAGTCACTTGTGCCTGCCACCATCCACACAGACTTACCTGAAGGGAGCTGTGGAAGCTGCTCTCCACCACACTGCCTGGCCGCCACATGCATGTGTGCAGCCCACATGTACATAGCGCCCCCTGCATCCTTCCTTCCCCCGCCCCAAACAGCCCCGCCAGCCTGCAATCGCACCATTTCCTGTGTTTTTCCCCTTTAAAGGAAAAAATCCACGTTTTTCTGCAGCAAACAGAAAACCCAGATCCCTGGTCATCAGTACAGGGCCAGTCATTTGTGACTGAGACAGACGAATCGGAGAGACAGCTCTAGGCTATGCTTTGTCAGACAAAATGACCACCTCAAGAATAGAGTATGTGCAAGTATCCATCAACTGGCCAACAGCCCCATCAATTACATCTGTTCCCACCGCCTCTATCCTGTTGCTTTTGTACCATTTTAATGCAAGAATTCTCATTACATCCTATTTTTAGCATGGACACCACTGACTTCCCCATGGCTGCAAGGGTGATGCTCACTCCAGACTCTGTTCCTCCCAGAGGCAACTGCCTCTTGCTTAACTAAGGAGACACGTGCTAGCAGGAAGCCCAGGAAGCGGTCTGTGTTAGCAGTAATTGTTCACGAGGGAGCTGCTGAATTATTTAGTGACCAGTAAATGAATCAGCAATCGGACTCATTCAACTGCAACCATTTAAAAAACAACAACAACAACAACAAAAACACTCTGCAGAAAATGTGTTGACAGGGCACTTACGGGAAGGTTTTCATTCTGAATCCTTGGCAAATGAAAAACAAGCTAGCACAATGTGCACAAGATGAATGAAAATTCATTCCTGGTGCTAAGTGTGTATGTCAGTGTGTTAAATGGCTCATTATTATGTGCATTACAGCTGTGTCCAGAGGCCAAACCAAACCTGTGCTGGACATGATACAAACAAAAGAGGAAGAAAATCCCTGAGGTAGAGATCTCAGGCCCCAATTCTGCAACGAGCTTTCTGTGGGTGGGTTCCCAAACACAAATAACATCCCACTGAAGCAATTAAAGATGTTCTTATTCACAACCAAGGCTTATATCTGGCTGCTTTAATTGTTGCTCTCTGTGTGGGCAGGAAAGTAGTTAAGAATTAGAAGTGCACCGATACATCAATCTGATAGTGGATCGGCACCGATGTAAAGAAAAATTGACTGCATCAGAAATTGGCTTTTTTTTTTTTTTTTTTTTTTTTTTTGCCTGACGTGGCCAATAATGTATCCAATAAATGCCTTGTGCATGCGTGCAGCTGCAGCACAGCACATAAGCGGCAAGAAGCACAGCGCAGCATCTTGGAGAGCTGCATGCAGCTGGTAAGTCTGTTATGGTGGAAGGGGAGGGGGCAGGGAAGGGGTGTGGAGGGGCAGATCAATGCCCCTGGCAGTGAGGGAGGGGTGGGGCTGGGGCAGGTGCTACCCAGCCAGGGCAGAGCAGGGCATGGGACAGAGCCATGGCTCATTCTGAGCTGGGGAGGACAGTGGGTCCTGCCACTGTGCGCACCCCAGGAGGGCATGGGAGCATGTGCCCCTGGATCTGTGCATGGGGTAGGCTGCTGCTGTGGGCTGGGGCCAGGCTCTTCCCAGTGGGGGCTGGACCAGGCTGCGCTCGGGGCGGGCGGTGGCAGCGCTGGGAGGGGGGCTACAGCAAACTTTGGAGTGGCTCCAGCCTTCCTCCCAGTGCTGCTGCTGCCCACTCTGAGCACAGCCCAGCCCAGTCCCCCCCATCAGGAAGAGCCCAGCACTGCCCCAGCCCCAGGCCACAGCAGCAGCCCACCCTGCCCTGCACAGATCCAGGGGCACATGTCCCCCATGGCTTCCAAAGCAGTGGCAGGAGCTGCTCCCCCGTACAAGTAACAGCTCTATCCTGTGCCTGCCCTACCCCAACTGGGCAGTGCCTGCCCCTGCCCCAGCCCCGCTCCCTCACCGCAGGGGCCTTGATCTGCTCTTCCACGCCCCTTCCCTTACACCACAACAGACTTACCAGCTAGACACTACTCTTCAAGCTGCCAGGCTGCATATCAGAAATCAGATCAGTATCAGCCAATATGCCTCCTTAAAAACTGGCTATTGGTATTGGCCCCAAAAATCTCTATTTGTATGCACCTATTAAGAATTATTTCCTAAAAAGGTTTTGTAGAAGGCCAACTGGACCAGGCA